CCCCTTGTCAGTGCTCTTTTATTCTTTCATGTTAACTGACGGCAAATCTGAATGATGCACTATTTTAACTTTAATCAACATGTACAATTGACCATGACATCCTCACCTTCTCTTATTCCAGAAAATTCACTCACCCAATGCTGAATGGAGCTGTACAGCTGTAGCTCACATGATGAAGGTTGGGGTTGGGGTTGGAGGGGGTGTGTTTGAACTAAATCAGCACCCTGATAAAGAGGTTGACTGGCACACAGTATTTTATGTATTTTGAAAATACAAAAATACTAATCTTAAATGTATTTAAATACAAATTACATTTGATTTTTGCCGAAGGCTTTCAAATACAAAATACAAAATAGTATTTTGTATTTCAAATACGTATTTTAAATACATGTATCTGAAATACTGCCCATCCCTGGCTGCGCTCTCATCCACATATCCAGATGACCTGGACAAAGACTTTGAAGATGAACTTCTTCAGTTCAAGAATTTCGTGCACGAAGAGAAAAATCTTCACCAGAGGATATGCTGCAAATTCTATGAAAAAATGGGCTACAGACTACTTTCTCAAGTGTATTTGTTGCACTCAGACTGTTCTTAACCCTGCCCGTTACCAACTGCGAGGGCGTGAGATCCTTCTCTCAACTTAAAAGAGTGAAGAATGAACTCAGGACAACCATGAGACAGAAGCAGCTGTCTGCACTCTCCCTGCTGGCTATTGAATCCAAAATAGTCTAGGGAATGGACTTTTGAGGATTTAATTAACGATTTTGCATGCACAAAGTCTAGGGAAAAAAATTCTGCTAAAGGTAAGGCAAATATGTGATGCTGTTGTCGATTTGAAATTTGTGGAACAGTTTTCTCTTTTAGCTGATTGCTTAGAGATTCCTGTAAAGTTCAGTGTGTGTGTTTTGCTGTCGTGCATCTCTGTGGTTCTGAACCAATCAGCTGTTGATATGGTTGCTTACAACAGTCTTTCTTGTGCTTGCTTATTTGGTATATGTTTGCAATTTTTTTTAGACATATGGTTTTGCATGTAGTCCTCATACATTCTATTTATGATGGAAATAAAGATATTTAGTATGACATGTGAGTTGCATTGGGGGGGGGCACTTCAAATGTGATCACCCTAGGGCACTGCACTGTGTTAATCTGGGCCTGGTGTGTGTGTGCGTGTGTTTGTTGGTGGGCAAGATGGTTGGGTGTATCTAGGCTCCATCTCTCTTCCGGGCTGGGTCCGGCCACAATATTTCATCTACGTCACATGCTATGTTCTCTCTTGCCAAACACTGTGGAAAGAACCTCCTTGTATGGCGTATCCAACCTTGGATGAAGGCAGCATCAATGTCTCCACATAGGAATGACGATCATACACTTTCACAATAGGGTTTAGAAATGGTGAATACAGAGGCAGGTAGACAACAGAAAAATGGGGATGAGTAACAAACCAGTTTTGGGTCTGATGGGCGTGATGAAAGCTGACATTATCACAGATTATAACAAATCTTCATTCTGCAGACCTTAAACAAGCATATCATGAACAGCATCCAGAAAACGTATGATGTGATCAGTGTTATAGGGGCCAAGTGTGGCAAGATGGTGCAGGACACCATTCTGTGTAATTGCAGCACACATTGTAATCAGGGATTGAAATTAACTTTTTCACTCACCAGCCAATTTGGCTACAACATTTTTAAGTTACCAGCCATTTATAACTTCTACTAGCCAAAAAATAAACCAAACAAACCAAAAATGAAAGAAATAAACCAACAGTTTGAGGCTGTCTATACGGGACGTGACAAAGCGACCATTGCAAATCATTTTGTGTCAGTACTAGGGGTGTGTGATATTGACAAAAAATAATATTTAAATATTTTCTGTGATTTTATCAATAAAGATAATTATACGATATTTTGCTGAGTGTGTTATTGTGCTGATATCTTAAGGACTACCGTGGACAGCTGACTCCTAAAGTTTTTGATATTCTTCATATTCTGTGTGGTCAGTTCACATCAGTGATAGAAATGAATCGTTTCCAATAAGTTTAAATAGATTTTTACATTTTATGTGCATTTTTACCTTTTTCCTTTATAAAGCCATTTTTTCTAAAAGTGTGCATCATCTTTTGAGTCAAATTCTTACATTTAATCAGTCAATTATAATAATAATACATTTAGGCTGTTACTAAATCAATTAAATCAGTATCAATAAAATTCATCTTTGCAGAAGTTGCATCTGAAGTTGCATTTAGATGCGTTTACACGTTAATGCAGCTTAGAGGGACATGGAACGCTTTAACCTGCAGTTACAAATGCATGAATAATGTTTTGATATTTTAAACATGAAATGTTGAATACTGATATTT